TTTCTCTTCTATATAATTCCTAGTTATTAAATAGACTTACCTTTGTCTCCAATATTTGCGAACGCTAACGGATATACCTGGGGTCCCGTATAGATGGCGGTATATAGCACAATTCCGTTTTTTTTGCACTTGACCCACAAAAATGTTTTAAACATATATATATACACTAGTATATTCACATTCACACTACGCTTGTAAATTTTCTCGCGACACTCCACTAAGGCACCGTGACTTTACGAATAAAATCTTCGGTCTTCCTCCGCTCTAATTTATTGTATCTTAGCTAACCGAAGATGTCACTCATGCTGCACTCACTCACAAGTCCACGATGATCATCCGCTCAAATTCGGACTATGCAACCACACACACAGACACACACACGCCACTGCTTTACCGAACCGCAGGGTTAGCCAAGTTTCACACCTTAGTTGGGTTGTTGTAGCTTGAAGGTTTATGGCCACTTTCACTTCCCTTACTAATACATGCACACTAACGCACTCACTTCTGGTAAAAGCTGCTGTTACACATTGTACAAAATAATGAGCTACCTTGCCACATTGATATCAATCAAACAATACATCAGAGGATGTAATGTTGTGCGTGGGAAATGTTCGGTTATTCGCACAATGATTTTTTAGTGAGGAGAGGAGGGGGAAGGGTTATGTCACCTAAAACTAATTAGAAAGAGCACAGTATAAATTTTAAGAAAAGTCATCCTTCGCAAGCCCTGCCCCTTCTACAGGCACTCGGATGCCCATTTCAAAATGGGGTAAAATTAGCATTTTCGCAAAGAAAAATTAAACTCGTGTTAGGCCATCAGCAGTATTTTTGCGCAAAACTCCTTTCCCGTTGGTGGTCTTCGGCCGCGCTAGAAAGAATTGCCTCATCAGTCCAAATGCGGTTACGCCATCCACAGTATTTTTCGCAAAATCCACTTCCAAATTTACAGAAAAGTGCATATTTAAAACCGCAACCTTTTTTATATTTAAGCTTTATCCTTTGACTAGGTGAATATGTTTTTTTGATTCGGGTGACGTGTTTGGACACGATAACCCAAAATCATTGTATAAATAACCGAACCGTACCCGAACTGTCTTATGAACTTGTATGCTGCTACACAACAACAACCACAATGCATTTTGCTATAAACAAAAATTTTATAAAATTAAACCGCAGTAGTTTTCATTTTATGTGGATAATTCTTGTCACAAATATATTTTTTATCAGCGCCATATCTTTATCGGAAAATTATGAGAATCCAAAAATTGGTACTGTTACAAGTGACAGAGCATAATTTTAACTCGACCTCCTCCCTCTTCTACGGGTAACCGTACATCGTTTAGAGGTTTAAAAATATTTTATTTCAGCTATTTTTCATCAAACTGCATTAGATCGTATTACGTACGATATCCTCGGAAAATCAAAAAACTTTATTTTCGAACCTATGCGCAGGTGTACCGGGTTCTTGCAGGTTGGAAACGCGCAAGAATTTTCTTTTAATATTATCATCCAGCGTCACTAACTTAATTTTTTTTTTACTTTTTCAATAAACAAAAATTTTGCCGCTAGTAAATCTGGTAGCATGATTTTCTTCAAATGTCATAATCTTGTTAAAAGCCAAGTGGTCGGCAACAACAACGAATGTCAATAAATGAAACTACCTTCTATTTTTGTATCATGGATTTACCCATGATAAAAACATAGCAAGGTAGAACCGTTCTCTCAATTTGTCGGCCATGATTTTTTTTTGAAGTTTGCCAACATTTTAAAATCATATAAAAGTGAAAATAAAAAAATGAAATTGTTCGAAATTGTTGTTGCTTGAGATTGAAAATGAAAATGTGTGTGTGAGTTTGTGAGTAAATTTAAAAATTAAATTGTTTGGAAACGTCAAGAATTTTAAAAGCGACTCTCAGCGGTTCTACCTTACTATATTTTTATCATGGTTTTACCCATGATACAAATATTTAAAGGTAAAACCGCTCGCTCAATTCGTCCGCCATTGGGTTTTATTTTTGACGTTTGCTAGCATTTTGAGTTTTCTCTCTCGAAATGATTCAAATGTAAAATAAATTCGAAATAAACATATGGAAATTTTATGATTTGAAATTTTTTTGTATTAAAATATAGGAAAACTTATAAATTTATAGAAGAAAAATGAGTTGCTGCTTTAACGGCTGCGAAAATTCCGCTGTCCTCTGCAAGCAAAGCAATATGAAGCTTTTTAAGTTCCCGTAATTACCATATAAAGAAAAAAATGGACTGAGGATTGTGGTGTTATGAAAAGGTATTTGCCAAATTGCCCCTATGCATGCTCGGCTAATTGTTTGCCACATCACTTGACTTAATATAAGCACAAGATGGTTCTTTGGAAAAGTACAGTGCCTTTAAGGTACAATATCTTTAAATGTACGCCAAAATCTTCGATTTAACATGAGGGCAGAATTTGCTACAATTGCTTACATTTATTTATTTACATACATACATATATATGTATGCACATTCAAACTTTTTTGTTTGGACAGAAATATATTTGTTTGGTTTGAGTGAAAATAAAAACAAACAAATGAAATGACAGCGAGAGAAAAAATTCAAAAATGTTAGCAAACGTCAAAATTTCTAAAGCTGGCTCTCAGCGATTGTACCTTATAAATAGTTGTGTTTTCGTATTCTCCAGCAAAAAATATCAAGTAACTTGCCAGTAACCAAATTTCGGAGAGTAAGCCAATATTTACTCCCAATGAGTGAAATATGCAAGAAAGTACGAAAACGCAAAACCAGCAAGAAGTTGCTAGTTTTATGAACAGCTGATTAATTTGTTATTTTTAGATGCAATTTTCTTGGAAAACTAGTGTTTTCTATCTTATTATATATTTAAATAGGTTGATTTTGTCAATTGCTACTCTAAAAGCACCACAAACAATTATTTTCTTAATGTGATTTACAATAAGCATGCCATCAGCTGTTTTTCTTACTAGCAAATAGTTGCTAGTAAAAGTTTATCCAGTAAAAATCCAGTAAAACTTGCAAGTTTAGATGTCATTTTTGCTCTCTAAAAAACCAGTAAAATTAGTACTGGATACTGCGTACACGAACAGGGCTAACATTTTTATCATGGTTTTACCTTTAAATAGTTGCGTTCCTTATCTCCCAGAAATAGTCAGAAAAAGTCCGAAGTAGTCAGATTTAGTCCAAAAAGCGTTCCTTAACTCGAAAATGACAGCAAAAATGAGAGAGCAACTCTCAGTGAGAGTGACTCTCTTCAGTCCGAAGTAGTCAGATTTAGTCAGAAGAATTTTTTCTGGTAAAAGGTGCAATCCCGTATGCCTCGGACTCGGACTAGTAAAACTGTCAAAAAATAAAAATTCGCTCAGAGCGAGAGAGTAACATTGAAAAGTACGGGATCGCTTTCTAGTAAAAAATGGTAACTTCTGTCAACTTCAACATAACTTCCAAATTTTGGTTATAAATTTTTGCTTATTTTGTATGTAAACACACTCAGCTCAAAAAAAAGTGAATTGAAATTGGAAGGAAGCAAAAAATAATTGATATAGTGTTTTTGTGCTTGTGCTTGAGTGAATGTGTTTTGTACATACATTTCCATTCTTATTTGACGTTAGTGTTGTTGTTGCCATTCTTTGGACTAAAAATTTGTTTTTTTGCGTTCCTTTACTTTTTTCTATTATTCTCTGAACCTAATATTTGTATCATGCTTTCTGTCACGATTGAGAGAATACAAAGGTTGCACCGATTTCGGACCGCTATTCCTCTCTTAACGAATTTGACAGAATCGTTGTTTGCATGACGTCACACTTGTGCAACATGTTTACGTTTTCCTTGCAACATTTTTTCTTCTTCTTCCATTCTTGCTCACGTTTTGGCATTTCTCTCTCACAATTGCACCAGTGTGACGTCAAACACAAAAGTTATTCTCAAAAATCCTCTCTGATCGGAGCAATCTTGTATTCTATCCAAGGCGTGATTGACAACTCAGTGCGGGTCTCTTTTAAGGTACTATAATGTCAAAAAGTATAAACAAACGAATTAACCCTTAGTGATGCATGTATCTTATCAGCACTGATGTCCTAGGCTTTTATTTTGATTATAGTTTTGTTTTACTTACATTACTTACATCACATATATTTTGTCAAAAAATAAAACAAGTTGTTTATAAAATCGTTTTATCAATTTTCTTGTTTTTAACTGTCCTAGTTTTATGCTTTTGCGCGTTTATTTTTATATTTCAATTTTTTATCCTAAGCATTATTCGATACTTATAAAAGTATGATTTTACATTTTTTACCAATTTTATATGTGAGCTTAACTCAAACAATTTTGAAATTAAATTTTTTTCATGTGAACTAGTTTTCCATTAAAGACCTTGCTTCGAGCGGTTTTAATTTAAGCTCTTCCATACTTGCTTGCATGGTTTAATTATTTCGGTAAGCCGAAATATTTCTGTTCGCAACGTGCATTCTAAAGAGTCGTCTGTTTGAGTTTGGGCATCAAAAAAGAATGTATCCTGATCGTGTACTAAATCCTCACTTGTATCAGTTTTTCCGTATGGCATTGG